TTTCTGTAACTACGAACAACCCCCAACAAGCATCCCTTTGTTGGTCTATAAAGGAAGAATATTTCACTTTGATATTCTACTTCTGTGGTCCTTTTTATGTATAGCACAATGAAAGCTGAATGGTGTCTGGAAACAGGGATTAAAATGAAGTTTTACAGTCCTAGTTTTTAAGGAGTCTCCACACTGATTTCCATAATGGTTGGACCAGTCTACATTCCCACCAGCAGTGGAGAAGGTTTCCTTTTTCCCCGCAGCCTCTGCAACATTTGTTGTTGGTTCATTTCTTTATGATAGCCATTCTTTCTGGGATGAGATGGTATTTCTGTCATTTTAATTTGCATTTCAAGGATAGCTAGTGATGAACTGAAAATGTCATATCATAGTGATATATGTGTACTTATGTTTATAGCAGCAGAATTTGTGATAACAAATCTTGGAAACAACCACAATGCCCATCACCTGAGGAATGGATGAAAAAGATGTGGTATTTTTATGCAATGCAGTATTTCTCTGCTAGAGAGAATGATAAATTCGAAGCCTTTATATTTAAGTGGATTTCACTGGAAGATATACTCATAAGTTAAATAAACCAGACCCACATGTGTAAATATCATATAGGCTCCCTAGTATAAGAACTCAAAAGAAGAAATAAAAATGGAAAGGTATAACACAATTAAAAGGAAAGCAAGAATTTAAGAATTAGACAACAAAGAGAGGACAAGCAGAAAAGCAAGGAAACATGGCAGAGGCAAAGCCATACATTTATATACACAAGATGGGTAAGGCAATGATCCTGAGAATCTTCAGCATGTTTTTGAAACTAACAGTTAATTGGTAGGATTTTCACCCTTACTAACTATATATGTGGATACCTGTGAACTAAGCAACTGCACTGAAGATAGCAATGTGTAATAATAGGGATATGCTTGGAATGCCTGTCATTCTGGTCTTCTAAATACCTACTGCTTGTCATGTCATACCAACTCCTGCTATACTGTCTCTCAAGTAAATGTTTATTTAAAACAAAAAGGGTAATAAATGAAAACAAGAGACAAGAAAAATATGTCAAAAATTTTGCCATTAAAGACATTTTTTAAATAAATTTTGAAATATTCCTTACTTGGAAAATAGTGATAATTTTATATGTTTATTCTAGGTCTTAGAAGTTTAAATACAGGGCCAGCCAAATAGTTTATTGGATTAAAGCACCTGGAAGCAAGCACAGGGGCTGGGAGTTAGATTACCAGGCCTCCCTTGCTGGCCTCACCCTGGGGCATGCTGAGATGGCAATTGAGACTGGGCATGGTGGCACATGCCTGTAATCTCAGCTCTTGGGAGGCTGTAAACAAGTAGATCACTATGAGTTCAATCTAGTAGTGAGAACCTGAACACCCTGTAGACCCTTCCCTAAAAGAAATACAAAAAAAGAAATTTAAATATAAGAAATTATTAATTCCTATCATCTATTATATTGAATATTTTTAGATATGCTTTAATATCATGCTATTAAAACCTTAATCTGAAATCAGATTCTAATTTATTAAAGAAAACTTCCTGTCCTCTAGTTTCAAATGGAAAGATCGAATATCTTACTTTTATACAGTGGTTGGTGTATGCATTAGCTTTGTGTACAATTTTTGTTTGTTTGAACATTTTTTATAGAACAGGGATTTATGTTCTAATAATTTCTTCGATTGGCACTTGGCTATGTTTTTAAAGAGCCCAAATTTTTAGCACTAATACCTTGCTATATTTGTTGTTTATCTTCCTTTGAATAACACCTGCAAGATGTTCAGATTTCCTATTCCTGTCTATTCCAAGGGTGTTGTTTACTTAATTGTACATACCCACTTCATAAACTATATTGCCCTTCATTATAGGAGAAACATTGATTAGAATTTACTCAGAGCACACTATAGTGTTTAGAAACTGGAAGGGCATAATGAAATAAATTTTACTACTTTTAAATACACTTATTAATGATAGTACATGAGAGATCACTCCAAGATCAGTCCTGCAATTTAGTTGTTTTAGTGAGGAAATATAATTCTCTAGTAATTGGCTACAAGCATTGAAGTGTAACTAATAGAATTCAACAATGAAGAATATGTTGTATTCCCTAAGTTACTGTGTCCCTGAAATCATGTTTATATAATAGATTGTGAAAAAGAGTGATTTTTTTACTTGCAGGACAAATTATGGAGCAGTGCTGAAAGAATTCATTGCATAAATGCAGACATAGAATGTTTCCTAGAACACTGGACTGGACACTCTGTCCTTGTTTGTGGTCTGCCCTTAACACATTTGGAAGTAAGAAATTCATTGAGTTTATCTATGACCACATCTATAAAGAAATGCAAGAAAATCTGAATTAAGTTTTCCATAAGGAAGTTTTTAAATCTTGGATCTTCAGCTTTTGATTGTCACCCAAAAATCTTACTTTTCCTGAAAAAAGATTGCAGATATTTTGTGTGTATTTAGTTATACTTTGATGTGTCTGTATTTTCTGATATATCACTCAATAAAAACCGTTATATGTTTTAGAATCTCCAATGGTGGGGCTGTCTTAATCTGATAAAGTTATGATGCTTTTTTGCAATTATGGGTGCAATTTTCTAGTAAAAGATGAAGAAAATAATAACTTTATTAGTACACATTCTTAAAAATGATGTTGTTTAAAGAAACTTTAAAAGTAT